AGGCACCTTGTAAATCGCGGGAAAACATCGGCGAACGAAACGAAGATAGTAAAGTTGTCCCATTTCGCGTACCTCGGACGCGATAAAGCGCTGGTAGCATCCACGATGCGCGAAACTGATGGCGGCATAAATAGACACCCGTGATTCCGCTGATGAAACCATTTGTAATGAGAATGGGAAACAGCGGCTGACGTCGACGAGATGACACGAACCGAGCGGTTATGTCGTATTTTTGTCGCGTAGCATCAAAAAAGTCGTTCCAAATTGACAGATATTCTCGTATGCGCGTGTCTATATATGTAGCACGTGGAAATACGCACGTGAGACACGTGTTCGGCATTCACGGAAATCCCGTTCCTTTCTGCTCCGAGACGATGACATCCCGAATCGATGAGAGCCGCCGTCGACGACCGAATGGGAGTCTCTCCCGAGACTCGACGATCGAGGGGATACTAGCCGCGAAGAGAATTTTTATCACGCCCGCCCAGGGAAGTCGCTCTCTTCCGCGTTTACGGCTGTGGTCTTATACGTATAGTACGCTTTATTATTCCGCGAAGCTCGAAATAAAATCTCGAAGCTCCGGAGCCGATGTTCTCGCGGCGCGAGTTGAACATGTCGGCGCGATCGTCGGAGCGAAACGAGAGCTCTTAAAAATACGTGCGCGTTGTAAAGCGTGCATTTAAGCGAAACGCGCGGCATCTCGATACGTGTATATATGTATACAAGTAATTTACGGAAAAATAAATATTGTACATTTACATACGAACGTGTGCAACGCGTATAGATGCGATTTCATTTCGATGCAATCACAAGACACACACGTGTGTTTTATTGCTTTTAGTTTTTGAAGAAAATGATCGAGTTCGAGAGAATTTTACGCGGTTTCATTTTTGTGTACTATAGAATTTTAAATGCGTGTGCTTGGAATTTTTATGTCTCGAAATTAAATCGAACATTATTTCTTTCCTAATCGTTCTCTTTTGGATCTCTTTATTAAATATAGCTTCTCAACTTGAATATTTCTGCGTAGAATATTGTACGTTATGTAATATTGTACCAATTTATTCTTTTAAGACTTGTTCGTGAAAGTCTTTTAAAATTCTCATTAAATATCAGATTAAATTTTCTTAAGAAAAAAAAGAGAGAGAGAGAGTAGACATGAATTATTCGGAGCATACTATTCTATTATATGCGGACGTACAATTTACAAAATGAATTGCCACGTATATAAGAAACAAAGTGGCGAATAGGCTTCGCGATACTCTTCTCATCTTGTAAAACTGTGGCCATTATTCGCTATTAAGGTTACAGGAAGGCGGCTTCCTTAATTCATCTCTTTCATTAGCGGCCGAAAGACTCGTTAAAAAAATCTGCTAGCTTGCCGGTAAAAGGTTAAATATTTTACCGTCAACTCTCTCCGTTGAGGTCTTGATCAGGGTTTAATCCCGGAGTTCATTTAATCTTCCGGCCGTGTTCCAGTCTCGCGGGAGTTTCAAAAGTTGCGCGCATCCCCTGAAAATTGGATGAAAAGCTCCGCGAGATTCTCTCGCCTCAAACTAATGTTTCGAAGTCTTTCAAACCCGACGTGAACGCTATTATAAACGGTTTACGAGCTTCGGGTTGCGCCTCTCCGTTCTTCAAATATTTACACTTAGCGCGTAATGCACTCTTCTCGACATGTACGCACCTCCGTAATACAATTGGTCGGCTTTTATACTCATAAAAAGTGCCTCTTATCGTCACATGTAATTTACACATTTTACGATTAATTTTCGATAAATCCTTTTTAATGGTACTGTATGTTATTTTTACAACATCTTCAAATTAACGTTAGTCCAGATAGAAAACTTCTATTTGAATAAACTAGAGAAAAATCTTTTCCTTTATTTTGACATTTTTAATCGTAATGAAACATCGTGATACATCACGAAAATAATTTTCAACAGAGGACAATGTTAATATTTGATACGCAAATCTAATTACTCGTTTCTATCATACGACAATTGTATAGCAAAAGAGAAACTCGTAAACGTTTGTGAGCGCAACTAATTTTAAGGAAAATGTAATATCTGGAAACGCAAAAGGATTAAATCCATTTAACGTATATCCGACAAAACTCTCGTATACATTTCCTCGAATATTGCATAGATGCGTATCATTAAAGAGGGAGAAAGACCTTTCGATCCTACAAATTTCTACGATTTCTTTTCGAACAATGCCTCTCCTTTCAAGCGAGATGAAAAGTCCGCGAGAGGAATCCTTGTTACTGCAAGGCAATTAGCAGGGTTATAATTAGTACGGTTGGTTGCAATCGTTAGCCGGCGAATCGACCATACCGCTCTAGCGTTAATGACATCTCTTCCCCCCATTCGATTTTCGCGCCGGCGGTTCTCCTCCTCATTAACGTCGAGCCGCGATGCCGACGCGCGGCGGCGTTAACGCCTCGTTAGAGTTTCGCGAGCGGGACGGCGTTGGATAATTTATTGGCTCGTAAATTTGCGCTTTCCCAAATATATGTATACACACGTGTATACTGCACGCGTATACGTACGGAGCGCGATCTTTCCCGTCGAGGAAGCGGACGCTTCCGTGGGCGTTTTGTCGCGAGCGGACACCTACGGCGCGAACGAGAGGATAAACATCGCGCACCCGATAATATGATAAATCGGCCCGGTATATGCTCGCGGGAAATTATGGGATATTAGTGGCGATCGTTGGCGCGAATCGGCGCGAGCCTCTGTAATTTGGAACATTTTATTCGCAAACCCACGCGCGTTTTTTCCGAACGAGGGACTCTCTCGGTAGAGCGACGAGTATATCGCGCGACGATATCGAACGCTATATCGCTGCTCGCGTATATCGAAACGTATCGTCGAGCTTTCACCGCGCGCGGGAATGATTTGCAGCGGACGCGATGAAAACGCGCGATAAATTTCGCGGAGATACGCCCTCGTCGGCGCGCACGAATAGAGCGCACCAGTTTGAAATAGAGGCTTCTCACAAATCGTATATTGAATTTTTTTTCGAATAAAATGTACATCCATGTGCTGGTATTTTTGCCTCTATTTTTAACATAATCGATTATGAATCTCTCGGTGTATTAAAATAGGAAAATCGTGTAGAGAGAGAGAGAGACTGTGTAAAAAAACTGTGGAATTAGAATGCAACAATTTCATTTGCAGCATACGCTACATGAATACGAGAGTTTAAAGGATTAAGTGGAATACGAGAAGAGCGACTTTTAGACATTTTCATAATATAAACAGAAAAGAATGAAAACGAAATATCTCTTAACATTATACGCAGACATTACATAATTAAATTATCTTTGTTAAAATAAAATTCTTTATACTCTCTATGATGTTTCATTATATTTGTTTTTAACGCTTTTAAAAATATATGTGAATGAAACTTCAAATATTGTATATTCAAGAATTGTGATTAGAAACTGAATATTGTACACTTTCGTTGAAAAATTGTATGTAAATTGACAAAAAATCTGTAAGGATGATAGAATTAATAAATAACTTGGCTGATAAAAAAAGGAACTATCCTCGCCCGAAGCGAATATAACGTGGCGGTAGCGGCACAATTATGAAGTCTCCTCTACCCTTTGTGTATAATTTACGCGTACTCTGTAAGGCGATTTCACGCTTTCGGATTTCTAGACACAAATTCCGTTCGTGCGCTGCACGTTACGTGGAAACTTGTGCTACTCGCAAGTAACAAACGATGATTCTACGCTCCAGGACTCGATAATATCTGACATTGCCGTGGCAAGTATCTCCTCGGGATCTCTCGCGAAATCATCGTCGTGATTCTCTTTTCGCGACGGACTCGTCTCGCCTCATTTTAATATAAGCATAGAAACATAGCAATCATGACAGAAGCACAGCGTTGGTTGTGATCAACGAGAAGGATGGGTCGAAGAGAAAGCGTGACTTTGGGTGGTCCCTCGGATAATCGACAAAGGATAGTTACAATCACACGAGACCGAGATGCAACTTGGGAATTGTTACAAGTTGTTGGATAATCGCGCTACGTACTGATTGTGAATCTCGTTAATTTATACGATTTCTGAGAATTGATCCAATAGAACCGTAATATCGACAAAAATTATTAAGCTTGTTATTTTAGATCAATTATGTACGTACGTTTAGCGCAAAATAAGTAGAAAAAGTATTTTGCGCTTTTAAAAAAATGGAATTAATTTTTTGAGATAAAAATATTTATCTCTATAATTATGTATAAATTTAATATCTTCAAGTATTTGGTGATAAAATAACAATAATAAAAAAGTTATATATATGCACACGCACTGCATGCTTTTAGATTTGTTTCGAGATATAATGTATTATAAATTTAATAAAATTTCTGATCAAAGATAATTGAATAAATATTTATCGTTTATCGTATTTTAATATTCAGTATCGCTCTTGTTAATAATTGATTTCAGGGTATTTAAATATATAATTTATGTCGACTTTACATCGTTTACAGCTGACAATGATGAATTTCTCCTCGTAACACACAGTAATTTTTCAATTGCCCGGAGCTAATTCTGAGATCAGTGGAATCAGTTCACGCTTTGCAAATTCGTATGATTACCTATATGATTATGACGATGTTACGAGGTGAAAATTTTACGCTTAACAGGCCATCGCGCGCAATTTTCCAACAGTCTAATGATTACCATCAACTATCGTTAACCGTTAAGACGTCTGGAACTCCTTTTCATCGGGGTTAAGATTAATGTTAAAACTTTAATAATCGGCTTTTCGAAATATTTGAAATCATTTCATTTTTCAAGAGGAATACTCAAAATATTTGTAAAAGATCGATCAAATTTTATAAGTCGATTCTTTCATGTGTGTGAAGCTGGCGTGAACTCTTAATTATTTGTGAGTTTCCACGAATTGAGGCTGCAGCTTCACAAATATGCACATCACTATTACCGCTATATAGAAATGTTGTTGTAAAATAAACAATTTCTCACTCACCGATACGCGCGATAGCGGAGTTGTAGTACAGCACAGTGCAGTGATCTGAAAACAAAATATTCAAAATGTTATGTATATGTATATATGTATATGTTGTGTGTGTGTATGTGCATTTCAATTATAATTATTTTATTATAAAAATTGAAGCAAGGATTTTAAAATAAAATTTCTAAAATATTTTATCCGCGAATACAAATAGTATATATAATGCAAAATAAATTGCATAGAGATAAATCAAGTAATTTTACCAGTAACAAATTAATAAACTAAGTATGTCATACATTATAAATTATCAGATAAGAAATACATGTCGGCTCTCGATATTAATAATAATAATAATATATGAATTTTAAATTGGCCAATATAGCCCAAGCGCGAAAAATTAATTCTTCGGAACTGTATCTCTTGGTTTTGAGATTACTAAGTTCCATATATAAATTAATCTTGAACTTTACATATGGAGAAAATTTTTCGCGCTTGGGTTCTATTGGCCGATTCAAAATTCATATATTATTATAAATTATATTTATTTTGCATACCTCGCAGTTGCCCCGCTGTCGCCTGATGCCTCCTTTGAGCCTTCTTCTTCTCTCGTGGTTGATCGTCATTGCTTCTTCGTAGCACTCACAACACTCGCGAAAATACGAATAAATTATACAATCGTCCGACACTTTACACGGCACTCCCGACGCATGTATTTCGTATACATAGCATATAATAATGCGAAAAAACACGATGCGAAAACTGTAATCGCACGAAGCAACGATCTGTTCGACACTCGAAAATCTCGCAGTTAAACTCGCGTGCAGCTTATCAGCAATGCTATCTGTAACAAATAAAATACATACATATATTAGGGCAATCTCATTATTTCGCATTATAACATACATGATATTAATATGTAATTAATGATGAATAAAATATAAAAGAATTAAAAGCATCTACGAGTCGTACACACTCGCGCGCTCGAAAGCAGATAATTTAGGTTGGGTAATGTTGTTTGTTGGTATAGATTTTGCATCGAATTTCTCGCAAAATATGCGTTTCGAACAATTATGATTACATATGAACGTTGAAATTATGATATACGATTGATACATGTTACAATATAAAAGTGAGAAACGATTATGCTTACTAATGAACCACAGCGGGACGCAGTTCGAACTGTTTAGTACTCGCGGCGTTTCGGTAATGACCGAAGTTGTTCGCTTCCCACAACATCGGCAACTTCACTCTAATAGCGCGCGCGATACTATACATGTCTTAATATTAATAACTAATTAAAGCTCGAAGAAGATTCGTTCGAAAAAATATAGAATAAATATAATTATCGAAAATCGACGGCGTTTCGCTTCGATATCTATATATATATAGAAAGAAATCCGCACTGAAAAAATCCACTTTTACATGGAAATTACTAATTCAGAGCTGGGAAAGTTACTTGCTTATCACTGTAATTTTTTTCCATTTGTTTTAAAGTGAAAATACATATTAATGTAAAATATAGGTAAAATTACTATTTTTGTGCAAAAATCATATGTAATTTTAAATTTATTATTTTTACTTTATTAGAACTTTATTTTATAAGTATTATTTATATTTAACTAAATATTAACTATTAACTTAATTATTTATGAGAACTCTTAATTATGAGTTTCCACGAAATGAAACACCAGCTACACACACACACGACTCTTTCATTTCTCACTGAATATTCATCGATAGATTGTAACGCGAAAAGGCGAGGAGAGGCCTCCACACTTTTGATACATTTCGATCGATTTAAGAAAAAAATATTAGGCCGTGCATAAATGGACGAAATCTCGGATTCCGACGAGTTGCTGATAGTTGACCCGAGGGTTAATTACACCCTCGGCTAGATCTCTCCATCCCTCGGCATTGTATTTCTCACACAAGAAACTGCAATCTTTAAGACGCATTTAATTCTATATAATCACCGATCGTTTTTAGAAACGCCCTGTTGGCCGCGCATTGAAAATTTCGTTGCTATTAATTGCTCGACCGAAATCGATGGCCTTGTACATGCATTATTCAAGCATCGTTGGAATCAAATTAATTTAATATTACGCAATACTTATTGTTTGAAGTAAACATATGTATTACACATATTTTATATGAATGGATATTTGTGTATTTTAGATTTTTTAAGAAGGAAATCCAACAAAGTATAGCATAAATAGTTTTCATTTCAGAGTCTTGGTTAGAAATTCAGAATATATAATTCTCTCAAAATATTTTTCCACCCCGTTTTTCTCCTCTACATTTAATACGTATTTTTCGCTCAATAATATTTATTATTCTTCCCGCGATATTTTCGCGAAAATTATTCTATAAACAAATGCCGCAACTGTCAGAACCATAAAATTATTTTAATAAACTTCATATATTGTAATACAATATTTTACATAAATATATTTATCAAAAGTTCAACCTACAATCTCGTTTCAAATATAAAATAATCCTCAGTTTTTACAAAAAACAAAACATTTTATAAAACTAACAACTCTGATTAAAAAAAAAAAAAAACAAAACGTAAGTGAGCACTGAACTTTTAAAATATCAGTAACAAAAGTGATATACATACCTATTCTTTCGCGATAAACAAAGATATATTTTCCCTTGAAATATTTCATCTTCGTTATTTTTATCTTCATTAAAAGCACCGTTATTTCAAATACGCTCATCTTCTTAAAAGTTCATCTCCGATAGAAACTTTAACGGATTAATGAGAGACGCGCTTCGAGGGTCCCCTCGATCGGAATTTCTCCCACTCTCACGAAAGAGGCTCCATTAGATTTGAGCTCGTTAGAGGGACCGGACAGACGACATGACGTGTGTTTCATGGATCGAAGCTACCAGACATTGAAACGTCGCGAGAGGCTTGTCTATCCGTTTGAGTTTCAAAGGCGGCTCACCGACCCGAAGTCAGGTATCATCGATCGCGTTCGAAGAGTTGATTGCCAGCTGTATTGATAAGATCTGACACGGACGCTCGAGTTTTCGAAGCCGGCTCGATAGGTCGCGAACCTTACGGCTAACTCGCGCGATGGCTACATACATATATAGCTAACAATAAGCGTGTTAACTTTTTCGAAACAAAGTTACAATGGTTTGTGTATGTACGTACGCGATGACGCCGCTGGATAATTCAGCTTTTACGAGTATATCGTTTAGGTGGATGTGTTCTTTCGCGCAAACACTATAACGCTATTTTAAATGTTTTTCACCAATTACTCTCGAGTTTTACAACATAGTTGTATGTATATTATTGTGAGACTTTTTTATCTAGTTAGTTGCACTGCGAATAAGAAATACCTATATACATATTCGGAACCATTGAATATTTTTGAGATATAATTAAAGGTACACATTAATTTTTAAAAATTTGAAACTTTAATGACAAGAGATATAAGGATGATTATAGAATTATTAAACATTAATAATTGTAAAATTTGGAAGACTATTAAATCTGTAGGATTTATAACAAAATGTTCAGATAAACGAACTAGATTTTAATTAACAGGAATTTAATTCAAGATTAATTTATCAAGTTAATCAGTGCCGCAAATTAAATATTTACTTTTAATTGATGATTAAATTGTATTAATTGATGGAAATACATATAGAGAAGTAATTTTCGATCATATAACCTATTTAGAATATATGGACGAGAATAAAGTAAATACAGATCGTAACATTACTTGAAATTTCTCGCGATAGATCGATAGCGAAACTAACTTGTTTCTTGCACACACTTTGGCTGTCTCAACAAGAATAAATAAAATATCATAATAAAAGAGCAATAAATATTTGCTCTGGTAAGACTCGTCTCTTTCTCTCGAAATCTGCGTAAAACGCAGCGTGATAGAAAAATCATACGCTTATATCGAAAGCATAAACGATACAAACTGCGCAACACGTCGTATTTTATAAGTTGACATCCAGCATCCTGAGAAAAAGAGAAGGGGAACGGTATAAAAAATATGGTATAATCTGCGCGAACCGCCTCGATCGATCGTTAATCTCGATCCTTCGTCTCGCGGGAATAATACGACCGCCTTAAATCAGCGGAAACGGCGTCTTCTCGAACGGCTAACAAGTCAAGAGGTAGATATTTTATCTGGAAATAAACAGGGGATTTGTGAAAGTTGGCCTATTTTGTTGAGATTTCTTTGAAGAGGAAAAACGCATCATTTACTTTGCGTGCTGTTGTAACTCTCTTCAATTTAGACGAGTAATTTATTCCGGCGGACAAGAGAGAGATTAAATATACAGAACATAATAGAATACGCGCGAAAACATAATAGAAAAAAATTAACATTCTACATATTTTTTCAGCACAAAGAGTCCATTATTGAGACATTTTACAAAAAAAAAAAAAATTGAAAAGCTATCTCGTCCACAGAGCCTTCATTTGTCCCTCATATACCTTTGTTACACTTGCATGGACGACAATCGTTATCTGCACATTCTCTGTGCATACCAGGGAGAAATGTGTTTCAGCGGAGTAAAGTCGAGGCGTGCTCTCGCCTCGTTTCATTACTCGCGTCATTATTAGCCGAGACAGGGAGGATGTAACTAGATCAATTAGCCTCGCGAAGATCCGCTCTCTCGTACGTAATGCGTCTCGTAAGTGTGTCGAAAGTGCGACACGCGGTAGCGGTGGCACGCATCCCGTCGAAATCGAATTAGGCTACGCGCGGCGCGCACGCTATCCGGCACCCAGGCCTCTCGTCTCTTCGACGAGAAGGTGAGACAGAGGATGCGAAGGCGGAGTAATCCATTTAAAGTCCGTCCCCTAAGTGCACGAGGCGCGCGACGCTACGAGGCGACGTGAATCTCTCGTAACGTGAAACGCGCGCGACACGCGAGGCACAATGGACCTCATTACACGGCGTATCGTATAAGATCTCGAAGATGGCCCGGTAATTGAACAGACGCGCGTTTAGGTCGCTCCGCTAAAAGCGACCCACGGATCCATCTTCGAAGAAGCTGAGTGCGCCTCGCCCACGATGAAATTACCTCCTCGGAACATCGCGTTCTCCTCGTGTGACCGCGGTGTCAATCAGGAATTGTGACCTTCGACGCTCTTTGCTTTGCGCTTAATACACAATTGTCGGAAGTCGAGTATATTGTTCTATGGAATATAGGTTTATTTTTCTTCAACATTAATGTAATTATCGAAAGTGTAAACTTTAACAAAACACAGAGAGAATTTTCTCTCTGAATTTATTTCTTGAAAATTATGAGAATCATAGGACAATATATGGTATTGGAAGAATTTTATTAAAGTTTTTCTGATTAATATTTACGTCACGATAAAAAATATTAATATGCGCAATGACATATATAAAATATGTTTGATTAATTTTGTTATGCACATATTAATATTATTTATTGTAGTAAATATTAATCAGAAAAATTCATAAAATTCTTCCAACGCCATATATTGTCCCACGATTACTATGATTTTTTATGAAAACGGGATGTTGATTTGTTGTGTAAGAAATTTGAAAATTTTTAATTAAAATCATGTGACCGCGGTGTCAATCAGGAATTGTGACCTTCGACGCTCTTTGCTTTGCGCTTAATACACAATTGTCAGAAGTCGAGGGTATATTGTTCTAATATGGAATATAGGTTTATTTTTCTTCAACATTAATGTAATTATCGAAAGTGTAAACTTTAACAAAACACAGAGAAAATTTTCTCTCTGAATTTATTTCTTGAAAATCATGATAATCATAGGGCAATATATGGTATTGGAAAAATTTTATTAAAGTTTTTCTGATTAATATTTATGATGACATATATAAAATATGTTTGATTAATTTTGTTATGCACATATTAATATTATTTATTGTAGTAAATATTAATCAGAAAAATTCATAAAATTCTTCCAACGCCATATATTGTCCTACGATTACTATGATTTTTTATGAAAACGGGATGTTGTGTAAGAAATTTGAAAATTTTTAATTAACCGAATATTTTGATAAAATGTGAAGCATACAAGTTGTTCTGTTAATCTGACTATTTTGAAATAAAAACCTTAAAAGCAAGAAATTAAAAAATTCGCGAGAAAATGCAACATTTTTTATATAAAAAATTACTGATATTTTTGAGAAATTGGTCAAGAAATTCGCATATAAAAATGGCATATAATAATTTTACCAAATTCTCCAATTAAACGCGACATGCAAAGATATTGTATTATCTGTAAATGAACGCGCGACGACGTTTAATTTCGATCGGCCAATCCCGGGAGGATTTTACGATCCTGTGGAACATCGCGAAAGATTGCGCCAAAGGGTCATGCGCGAATCCGGCGACCACCCGGATGTGATCGTACGAGGAGCGCGATTACGATAATCGCGTCGATGTATCTGTTCGTGGCACGAAAATTAGCTCGTAATTTCAGTACAGGTGTTCCTTATACTCCGGCGGATGATCATCCCACGCGAGACTTTCGACGTAGAAGGGACTCGCACACACCGTGCTATATTAATAACCGCAATCGTTTCTCCCTCTTTGGTCGTGTTATTCGCGGAGGAGATCTCGCACAAACATATACAAACACACACACACACATATAAAGGAACCCGACCCACAGGCGTGGCGAAGGTCCTCTTAAACGGATATTAATTAGCGACAGCCGTTACCCGAACGCACAATAGCTCGGAACAAAAGGATCAATAAAACGGATGATTGAATTATGTATGCGTTCGAGGAGGGACAATCGTTACTCGTCCATATGGGCGATGATGATCGGATGCAGAAAGCATGCGTTATTGTTTTGTTATGTATTTTTGATTATATATCAGATATCACATCACGAGCCTTTTAAAGCATAGTTTTATTACGAATAATTATAGTGTAAGTATTTTATATCTGTGTCTTTAATTTGTCTAAATTCATACCTTAAGATATATTAGATATTTAAAAAAGCATTAATTAATCATCGATTGAATTTTTATTAATTTTTATTTTTATTAAGCGAAACTTGTCAAAGAATATGAATCTATAATGTCATCCGTGATTAATTTTGCTTGTTGTTATACATGTTCGCATAAAAGCAATATTAAAATCAATTTTCTTAATTATGTTCGTAATGGTGTCTTGTTAATTTATGACTCCTAAAATTGTTTTCTTACAGACCGCTGCTACACTGCAAATTATATAATAAATACTCGAAGCATTATTCCCGGCACGTCCCGACGACATATCAATCCCGGTGTCATTTCAAGCGACGAAAAAGCGCACGACACAGGCTGCTAATTTGCATGATCGCGCGAAAACGAGACAAATTAAGCGCGCCTTCTTGGCCAGCCAGCTCAATTTGTGTCCGCGAATTTCCCACAAAATTTCTGACAAAGTCGCTCAAAGTCCAAAGAGAAGCGTCTTCTTCATCCTTTCTTCTCTTTCTCTGTCCCTTTTTTGTGCAGCGCGTGATGTTCTTCGGGAAAAAGGGCCCGTGACGAAGAGAGTGGGAAATGAACGAGGGCGCTCTTAATTAATTATTCCGTAGGCGTCGCGCCGCTCAAAATTAAAATCGGTTCATTAAGCGGCGCTACGTGGAATTTTTTCCTAAACCGACTGCGGGCGGGAAGCGACGACGGCTACCGGTTTTCTACCTTCTGAAGGAACGAAGGTCCACGTTCGGATCGGCAAAGCGCATATCGGCCCCCTCGAGTCTTCGGCCTTTAATGGTCCCGCGACGGTTTTTATCCCTCGCGATAAATGCCTCGTTAACGATCGCGCTCGCGAGGAATAATCGAAACTCTCGACGGACGTCGCGCGCGTCCTTTTTTTATTACGACGGGAAACGCGTTTAAGAACGCATAACGGAGTCGTATACGGTAACTTACTGCACGCGCTCGATGGTGTCATTATTTAGTTACGGCTACAAAATTCTCGCGGAAGAGGCGAATAAGTATTAAGTTCCGCCGATGTTATACACCACCAAGCATATTTTACGCTTAGCTATTCTGATGTAAATCAGTTGAAGAGTCGCAGTCGCGTCTGTTAGACGTGTGAGACGTGTTCCACAATAAGTACTTCGGAATTCCATCGGTGTGTGTGGCCGAGGAGAAAGTTGTAAAAATTCCCTTTTCTTTATACATTTTCTCGCTATTCACTAAAAATCAAACTAATTTAAAATAATTCGAATTATTATTATTATTACTTATTATTTTTTATTTTTATTTTATAATGATCATTAGATAATATATTTATAGAAAATATCACCGTTAATTATCGTATAAAATTTCTCCAGCGATATATTCATGATAGTTACTCTGTATACATAAAACACACATTGCTTGTTTAAGGTAGTTCTATCGCTACAATATCAACTAAAAGTTTCGCCTCTAATCGATAAGGAAATTCATCGTTTATATACAATGTTACCGTAGCAACAATTTTAGTTGAGTCTGTACAGTCTGAACCTCTTCACATAGAAACAGCTCATGTATGAATACACATCATCATCGCAATTTCTCTCCATGTTCCGTTTGGAAAAAAATTCATTTCTTTAAAAAGTAATATCTTTGGAACTAAACGGTGGAAAAAATTTATTTTTTTTTTAAATTATCCCACATTCATATTGTATACCCCACTGGTTTTTTATTAAAATTGTAAGATCCGTTCTATTGTTATATATTAAAATGTGATGAAAATGCCATCCTTTCACGTGGTGTATAGAAAAAATGCTATTTTTAATTATAAATAACTGTTAAACTAAACGGTGAATCGACTTCAAAATTTCGTAATCGATAGATATTAACTCCGTCTGCAACATATTAAAATTTCTAAAAATTCGTAAGAATTGTGAAAAACGATAGAACTACCTTAATCAAGATGTCCCATTAGAAATCTCGTATACACCTTTCTGGCCGATCGATTGACGATTACGATACGAATCTAAAACAAGTTTCAATCACGCAGCGTTTTATAACAGGAATACACGCGCGGGAAAACTGCTTCGCGGGAATAATAACGATTTGAAATATGCCTGTAAGACTTAACTCTCGCGCGCGCTCACATCTGCTGCGCGGCCGAGCGCTGCAATTTTGTAATAAACTTATCGGGTTGATGCGATAATTATCGCGCATCTGGCAAGGCCGATTCGCGTGATTACCGAGAGTAATCCGCGAAAGGGGGAGGAACGGACGGAAATCGGGATGGAGCACCTGTAGGCGCGGGATAACTTCTCGAACGCGCGTTATCTATGGTTCGGGACCGGCGTGGGTTTCGACCGCAAATGACGGGATAAAAGGGTCCTCGGCACGACAGGATGCAATTACGGCTTTACGTAGCATTACGGAGAGAGAAGGAGAGACGCCTCAGCGCTGCGGCGACTCCATTTAAAGTTTAAGTGAGACTTAAATTAAAATCCATCTCGTAACGATTACGCGCGCGGTGACACTCGCACGATAAATTTCCACTTAGACGACGATGTACCTCGCTTTTTAATATCTTCACTACTTTCTTCGATATGAATTTTCCCGTATGTCATTTTACGAGTTGTTTGTTCTATTAATTTGCTGCATTTTTTTTATATAAATATAAATTGAGTGTCAAACAGGCAATAAGAGCCAAATCGCGGATGACAGTGCGTTATCCCAACGAATTGAAATATGGGATAACGCACTGTCATCCGCGATTTGGCTCTTATTGCCTGTTTGACACTCAATTTATATTTATATAAAAAAAATGCAGCAAATTAATAGAACAAACAACTCGTAAAATGACATACAGGAAAATTCATATCGAAGAAAGTAGTGAAGAATTGAAATATGAGATAACGCACTGTCATCCGCGATTTGGCTCTTATTGCCTGTTTGACACTCAATTTATATTTATATTTATATTACAGAGCCTTGTTAAATTCTTAATTTTTTTTTTATTATATGTACTTATTTGAATGTGATTCTATTTAATTTTAGATTTTAAATTCTGTTAAAAAGATGAAAAAAATATACGAATATATTATGCGCAATCGAGGTATTTCGATGTAGACGTCGAAAGGAATTGTGTCGGTCGTACTCAATTACCGAAACGAACGCTTTTCGTTACATTTCAAGATTTCAGAATGGAATTCTAAGCACGTAGTACCGCGCACTGTACTAATAAAAGAGCCTAGCATACCTGAATGTGTTGGCGAAGCGCTCGAGGTGTACGAATCGGCTGTTCGCTTGCGGCACTGGAATTCTTCCTGTTGCGAGATGAGAAAAAGAAGCTGAGAGAAATGCGCAGAGAACTTTCTTGCTTCTCTCTCTTTTTCTCTCCGCAAATTCGGCTAGTGAAAGAATTCAGCATATCTAAAAAAAAAAAAAATTTACATGAAATTTTTATCAATACGATCAACGCGTATAATATAATAATTATATGAATTATTCACAGTTGTAATTTTAAGACCGAATTAATCGAATAATTATCTTCTTTTTATAATATTGTATTAAAAAACGAATACACGCGCCGATGTATAGGTATAGATTATATTTCTTTTTATTTTCTACTAGACGCTAGGTCCCCGTTTCGACGTGATAAAAAAACGGGGTAGCAATTTTCTCTCCACTATACTAGACCAATCCCGCAGGCGTGTTTGTCTAACCGCAAATATGGGTTCGAAATATTTTTCGAAGAAATCACACGTAACCGATCTGCTCGAGAAGAAAGTTCATCATGGGATTATTTACTGACTGATTGAGCGAGTTATCTCAATCTTCGTTTATGTACTTTCCACGATTAAACTTTGTATGCACAATATTGTTATATTTTTAATTATTAATTATTAGGGATGATAAAGGAGAAAAAATTATCTAATTTAATCTAATTTAATTGAAAAAAGTTATATTCTCTTGTTAAAATTGTACGACCAAATGTTAAAAATTAGATTAAAGATGATTGTCGATGCGTATTAAAAATGAAACGAAATAACAAACTAGGCTTTCCTGACAAAAGCCAGATCAGATATCTACTCGCGTTTCCGCGATATTTTTTTCTTTTCCGAGATGAGAGATAGATCATCCCTTGCGATTGGTTTTATCGTTTTCTCTCTGGATAAAATTCGGAAAAGAGTCTCTCTTCCCGTTGGAACGAAATGCTCCAAGACGAGTTTTACGCATTTGAGAATTGAAAATAAAATGATATATCCACGATATAAAAATGATTGAAAGATGTTAAAAATTTCTGAACGCAAGTTGATTAAAAAAAATGCTTTATTATTTTTTGAAATGGAAAATGATTATATAAAATTAGAGTTTTTAAAATAAAACTTTTTTATACAATTTTTAAAAAGTGGACTTTTCTTACACAACTTTTTATATATTTTACTAATTTTATTTTTTTTCCTGATATACTCATTGAAATAAAAGCAATATTAAAAACATTTTTAATAATAATAATATATATATATATATATATATATCTATATCTCTTTTTATGAGATAATAAAACCTTGTTGAGCAAAATGACTTCACATATCTTCTTTTCTATCTGAATAAGAAATAAAAAAGTGCTCTAAATTAATCGATCATAGCATATCCCGCAAAGGATTTTTTATTTGAGATATAGGTTTCGAATTTCAGTGTTTGCTTTAGTAAGACTTTATTTTCCTGCGATTATGTTGATTTACGAGTGTCATAAAGATCAAAAGCTACATCAAAATTCTAATTATACAAGTGGCGAGATTCGGTCGGGGTTAATTAATATCCGGCGGCCCATAGATCCGAAAACGTTTTAATTCGCCCTTAAGTGCCGGCGCGGCGGCGAACGCCGGAGGACTCGCTGATACTATTTCGATTAATCGCTAATTGCGGCGATCATCTTTACGAAAACAACTCGGGGCACTGACGTGGACCAGCTACGGCTTAATAACAGGAACCGATCGTGGAATTTCATACGGTGGCTGAGCGTCGTTATTAACTATCGGGAGGTTATCCGATCGACCCGATACACCACAGCCAACTCGGATTCAGCAACATTCTTATCCATCGATCAAACCTTGCGCTTCGCGCGAGTTGAATTCTCATAAATCACACCAGCCAGCCGAGATTTCCGCTGGCTCGGCAATGAAAGCATTAAGAAAATGCTATCGATCTTGAACTTAATAAACTCGATACAGTATTACTTTTACATAGTTGTTGAATGTAACAATGTTCAACACTAATCGATCGGAAGGCGATTATATATATTTTCTAAAGTATTTAAAGACAGGGTAAAATATTTTGTAAAAATATAACGATAGTTTAAACAATTTTATATTCTATTGAAGAGGGAAACGTGACTTTGGAAACAATAATTTTGAAAAAATATTGAAGTGCGATTGAGACTTAATAAAAACACATCAATCCCCCATATCTCATTTCCGGTAGACAAACGAACTCTGGTAACGAGAAGATATAGAAGAGCATACAAGACTATAAATTGAATCGGACGAATTGAAAGAAACAAGCATCCGCTCGTGATGATTTGTCCGGAAGCAATAAATCGTCTCGTATCTTGCATTTCAGTCACCGTTTGCTCAACGCTTTAGCGATAAGGATTTATTTAAAATAATTTTTCGCATAAGAATAAAATTAATTATTTTGTTAAATATATGTATTGCTATTTTGTCAAAATCTATATACTTAATTAACAAGTTCAAAAAATCTCAATATTATCGTTATTTTGAATTATATCCTTTGACTAATTGATTAGATCTTGGCTCCTTCTTTCGTTTTTAATCGATTAATATTTCAACTTTAATAATTACGCTTGCTACTTTAAATGAAAGTAAAACCTTGTTTTTTTTTCTCTCGCCGGTTAATCGATCGAAGCGCATTAATTAACGCGGTGTAAAAATCGCGACAGCGATTCTCGAAGCAGAATACAGCAACGTCAGCATCCGAGCGAGAGAGAGAGAGAGAGAAGAAGGACAAAGAGCCCGAGAAAAAGGGTCGCGAGCAGAAAATAAGGCACGCTTCTCCCAGTTGAAGACACGCGGGATTATTGGGTCGAGAGAATCGTCGAAGAAAGGGTGGGGATTGAAACTGCAAACTCTCTGCGTTGATTTCACCCCTAGCATCTACAAATCTACACCGCGTTTCCTCTTTTCCTCCTGCGCGTTTTCAATTATTCCGTTATATTTTCGAGATGTGAAATAGGCCGATCGATTCTCGAAGAGCTAGAGGAAGTTACGGCACGATTCTTACCGGAATGCTTCTTCAGCATCTCGAGAATTCAATGCGCGAGCGATCGACGCGTCGGAAGTGAAATTACCGAAACATACCAGCGTTAGTGAATTTTTCTCGATAAATTCATCAAGAATTAAAATCATCTATTACAGAAATGTGAATTTGACGAGAATAATAATTTAATAAAAAATGAGAAGTTAAAGATATAAAGTTTGAGCGGAGAGAAGAATCCTCATAATCGTGTTATATTGCGTTTCTTCGGTGTAATTATATTTCCGAGAATACCTTTGTGTAAATTTATTGCTTAACCAATAAGAGAACTGCTATTCATTATCCTTTTTGTGCTAATGAACTAACTTTGGAAGAAAGTTTGAAAGAAACTTTTGCGCGCACATATACACACATACACATATACAGCAAGATTCACGAGCTGAAAACACTTAATCCTATAATAGAACGAAGAGCACCTATAGATGCTAAAACTTTTAATTTCACAAGTATTATCTGTTGGTATACAATATCAAGATTTAGCATTTTTATAGATATTATTTTAACTTATATCAATTAATTTCATCTATTAATTAAATCTATTAATTGTTTTTGACACAAAGACCATTTTGTATAAAATTGTAGAAATGAATCTCACAATCATATTTTTCCATATAAAAATAATAAATTTATCGAGTTTTTTCTCTTTCCAAATTCCATTGAAATTCAAACATCAAAAAGATTCGAAACTACGGAAGTATAGATAATAAAAGTTCAATCTCCACATCAATCGCGCACACATGTAACAACATTTTTTGTTACATATAAAAAGTGATTTTAGCGAGTGTGAAATATACCGTAAAACTATTTTCTACCTGAAATAAAAAAAAAAAATAGATTCAAACTTCGGGTTGTGATATATGAACTATTTCATAGATATACATATATGTACAAAAAAAATTGAATTTTTTTTTTATTAATTTGCGGCTTGCCAAAGGTATAATTTAATGGATTTGTCAAAAGGTGGATGTGAAATTTGAAAGTCGCAGAGTTGAAATCTTTCCAATTATAGTATCGGGTGGGCAACCGCAAGAGGAACAAGGGAGAGAACTCGAGGACCGTCCGATAACGAAGACGACCCCCTCGAGACCGCGTTCCTGCCACGGATCGGATGAATAAACTCGGGACTAATTACCGCGATAAGTACGGCAGGAGCTTCGTTGTTCCACGAAACTCCGTAATATTAACGAGCTGCGGCTGCGTGCCACGACGCTTCGATGCTTCAATCGCGGAGGAATACCTGAAATGTCTAGCCGCAGCAACCGAGATAATATGTATGGGCGTCGCACTTGCGCCGGGCGTTTATTACCTCGCAGTAATGCGTAATTAAAGTAGGATGGATGGCATTTAAGGCATACCGATCCCGATGCTGGTGGGTGTATCGCTGTCTGTTGAAAGAACGTTGTGATTTAACCGAGCGCGACGTTTATTAATCGACTCGCGTGCGTTTTATTCATATTGCAGCTATGCCTCCTTCCCAAGCGATCATTCATATCCTTGCATAAGTAAACTTAGGTATTTAAGTTTCTATTTGCATCGCGGGAGAAAAGAGTAACTGAAATCAATCACCTCGCAAGGATAAATTAACTTTTAACATCTTTCCGTATCTTTCTTGGGAAAAATTTATGGGAAAACTTGAGAGAATGTAGATTCTTTAATTGAGTAAGCTTGTTAAAATTTTTAAATTACTATATCATATATTATATATATATATATAAAAAATATATATCTTTTTATATTCTACGTAAATACATATTTTAAATGAAATTGCCTTAATTGTTTCGCATTAGAGCTTGTAGATGTAAGAGCTTGTTATGCAGATGGTATCATTTTTGTAAAATTTTCCCGGTATGTCTGAGAAAGCATCACGCGAAAAATGCAAAAATATAGTACATATACTGACCTCCTTCGTATCCTCGCTTTAAGAAAAAGAGAAAAATATGTGCTTCAACGTTATTATTCTCGCACGCAATACACGTAGACGTATAGGTTGAATATAATGAAGGAGAGATTTCTTTTCTCAAAATAATTACGGCTGCGTCGAACTCTAATTACGATTACGGCATTCTAATGACGATAATGCCGGACGATTAATGCAGGATTGCAGAAAGGGAAAAAAAAATCTCGGCGCATGCGAGAGAGGGAGACAGAAAAATGGAAGCAAACGGTAGAGTCATAAAATAATGTTGCGTCTCGTGTCTCGCTCGTCGACTAAAATTACTCGCGTTACCTGTTTCAGTGTGCAACTGCAACCTCCACGCGAGAAAGTGTAGATTCAACATGGAGCTGTACAAGCTGTCGGGCCGTGTCAGCGGAGGCGTTTGTCTGCAGTGCCGGCATTTTACGGCAGGAAGGCACTGTCATTACTGCCGCGAAGGTTACTACAGGGACCCGGCCAGACCGATCACGCATCGCAAGGCCTGCAAACGTAAGTGCCCCCCGACCGACAATTACATGTAAATCCAACAAAGACACGGCGACGCGACGCGTCGCGCCGAGCAATTATGCGCGCCGAGCTAACCCCGAGCGTGCGATTACTCGCGTGCTCGTGGCACGCTTAATTACGCGAGTGTGACGGGACCGTCGAACTTGCCGAGTCGTCTCGCCTCGCATTATTAGACAACGATAATGACGTACACGGGGATTTCTAATGCTTCCTTCTCGACGCGCGTGCCTTTAAAAGCGCAGCATGCACAGAAAAAACAGTATCCTTGAGAGAATGCAAATATGTCTTGATTCAAGTATATTTTATCCTTATAATAGTGCCAAATATAAATAATTTTGGATAAAGGATCATTTATCCTTAAAACAAAGTGCAAAATATTTATTGGTTCAAGCTGAAATTTACTTATAAATATCGCAAGGACAAGTGATGACAAGTGTGCATCGGATATAAGCGGTACTTTCAAATATATATAATAATTCTTAGTTCAAATGTGACTAAGTTTGTTTTTATCACATATGCGATTTTTAAAACAAGAATATATCTTAAGGATAAAATATACTTTACACAAACTTATTTATTATTAAGGCAGATGAAAATTTGTGATTACAAAGAGCATTCTATGCTTAAATCAATCAAATAGCGTTCAAGAATAAAAATATACTTGAATCAAGGATTCCTTTTTTTCTGTGTGCAAATCAATCACGTAATCAAAATTTATTAGAGCATATTTCTCTGTTCTCTTAAAGATTAAAATTATGATTTTCGTTTTTATATTCTCATAATAATCTATTTTATTCTTAAAATCTATCATTTAACTAATATAATAATAATAATTAGAATCAACTATAGTTTGCTGTTCGTTCAATTGAACTTTACCAATAGCAACAAACTGCTGCGGCAGCATGCTGCACATGAAATGGCACAGACCTTAATGCGACATAATTTGTCAGGGTCTAATTAGAGGATTCTCTGCGAAACGATCCGCTTCCGATTCTACGCGAGAGAGATAATTAAGAATCTTCAGTATATCCTTCCCGCGCGAGATAAGGAGCGTAAATCATTTTCCTTATTTTTTTACGTTGATTTATATCAATAATAAAACTCTCGGACACCCATATATTATTTTTGAAAGAAGAAAAAGGAATACGTCATCTTTTATTATTCATTGCAAATTTTTCAACCACATACCTCGAATTCTCTCGCGCGCTAGAATTCGCGCGAACGAACGACAGTGATCGATGCGTGAATGAAGGGAGAAAACTAGAATGACGCGCGGCTCTTCTTCGATCGGGAGAGGTCAGCGTTTTTTCCCAAAACGCTATCGGAAGAGGCCCCCCGGACCATTACCATTCGTCTCAGTCCTTTCGCGGTACTATTACAAAGTGGTTACCAGCTGAGCAACCCCCTAATCTCGATGCATTCAATTTATGTACGTTTGTCTAGGCCTACGCGGACCGCCGCGGGGATAACGATCTCCCGGTGCGAGAAAGCGCATCACATGAATGCAGCACCACGTATATATATAAGCATATATCCGAGAGCATAGTGCATCCTATAGTGTATAGGTCGTTCGTAACAGTACGGGCCGTAATGCTTGTCGGTTTAACCACGATGTACGAATATACCCGCTGTAACGGCGTAATGCCGTCATAAATCAGGAATCTGTGTCCCAAACGCGCCAGCCTTTCGAGAAAGGGTGCCCCTGCAAACTTGGCGAATCTCTCTTTCTCTTCTCCCCTTCGGTTCAGCCGCGGCAATTCCATCGCGACGTGTTTATATAAATATATATATACAAATATATATATTTACTTTTATACTTATATTTAATTTTATACTTATATACAATTAATTTTATACTTATATATATATATTTAATTTTATACTTATATACAAATATATATATATTTAATACGAAACGTTTGCAATAGAGGATTGTATGGAAACAAGCTGTCTTTGTCGTTAATTAGTGCGTTTGTAAATACGCACGGTGAACGAGTTTCGCGCGATCAACTATATGTGTCATCGGGCTTCCCGCGCATATTCTCGAACGGGGACTCAACTTGTCGCGCGGAGTCGCGAAGGTTAATTAACTCTTTGCGGTCTGGCACGTTTTTAATGTGTCGACCGGCATAAATATACCCGCCGCGCCAGTTGTAAAAGAGAGATGCACGCGCGCGAGCACGCAGTAAAAATTTTACTCGAGACTACCACCAGGTTGTTCAAAGGTGTCGGACATCATTCCGGCGCCGATGAAATTTTTTACGACTTTTTCAGATACACGCGTAAAGGTATATTAAAAAAAAAAGAGTTGCTTTGAAAATTATATACGCTAATTATCGTATTGTTACTTTCTTGTTGGACTGCGAAATTTTTTGTTTTACAATGTGAAATAAACAGATTATTGAGAAATAAGCTTAACAATAAAAGTAAAAAATTCAATTAAGTTGTCGTGGTATAGAATTATATGATATCAGAATTTTTACGCGTTATCATAATTAACCATCCACTTAAATTTAAAAATGTTAATCGAGTCATGGCGGGTCGGACCCACCTCTAGTGTCTCTGGCCGCAACATAAAATTCTAAAACTCAAGTATCGTGCCGAGGGTCTGCGCGTGCTCTCGCTGCCGAGAGATAACGAACGGTCTGTATTCTCGTTAGCAGCCGTGGCAGCCGTTAAGATAACAACGAGACACGACACTCATTGCGAACGGCCGCCGTGGAAAGAAGATTTAAGCTCGTCTTAGGACCAGCGTAAGTTTCATAAATTAATCCTCTCGGGACGAAGGAAAGAGACGGGAGGAGAACCATCGCCATCGGTGTTAGATCGCGTGGGACGGCGCGAGTGTAATTCCATTTTGATGCGTAATTTAAGTTTGAGCTTTAATCGCGCTCCCGACTTGAGATTGCCCCACCTTCCGTAACGATAATAAATTTGGGAATTAATCGGTCGACAGAATGATTCAATTTCGGCTTGATATAACGATGGTAAGCAAGTGTAATTCAGTCGGAAAAAAATCTTCACATCTTTATAAAGATATTTGAACTTGAAATTATTACTGAAAAAAATGTATAACATATTCTCGAATATGTAATAATTATAGATATATCGATGATTTTAAGAAAAGTTGACTTGATTTAATTATTGGTCTCCAAAGTAAAAACAAAGCCGAATCACAAAATTATTTAATGATGACAGAATGAATTAATCAGTCGGAAAAAAATCTTCACATCTTTATAAAGATATTTGAACTTGAAGTTATTACTGAAAAAAATGTATAACATATTCTCGAATATGTAATAATTATAGATATCAGATATATCGAAGATTTTAAGAAAAGTTGACTTGATCTAATTATTGGTCTCCAAAGTAAAAACAGAGCCGAATCACAAAATTATTTAATGATGACAGAAAGATTCAATTTCGGTTCGATATAACGATGACAAGCAAGTGTAATAAATCGGAAAAAATCTTTATATCTTTATGAAGATATTTGAACTTGAAATTGTTACTGGAAAAAATGTATAACATATTCTCGAATATGTAATAACTATAGATATCAGATATATCGATGATTTAAAAAAAAGTTGACTTGACCTAATTACTGGTCTCCAAGGGAAAAACAGAGCGGGATCACAAAATTATTTAATGATGATTAATATGGCGCCAGGAAGATAAGATCTTTCCGGAGGAAAAGCAACTCCGATTGAATAATCCACCACGCCCTCTAAATAAATTTAAATGTATCATCGTGTTAAAGTAAGTTAAATAGTACGAGCGCTCCTATTTACATATCGCTACTCACTGGTTCATTTAAATAGACACGACTTAATATGATCGCTCTTGGTAAACTATCTTCGCGACATTAAATAATAAGTCTAATCGCATGCTAATGAATGTCTACTCAACTTGTTTGCGGATAAGAGAGAAGCACGCTTGAAAGGCAATGCATTTGCAAAGCACATTATTTGTTACATAAATAAGAGCTATTTACATCAGACGCAACATCGAATTGGACAGGATCAGGAAGCGTACGTTGAATCCTGCGTGAAACTAGATAGCAACAATAATATATGTCGAGTGCTGTCGAGCTGGTTCGAAGCGTCCTCGATGACGACGACGATGACCCTTGCTTTATAAGATATGTCTCACAAGATATTCGCGTGCTTCATCGCTTTTCTCAACATTCTACGTTATTACAAGCTCGAAACGCGCGGAAAATGCACATTTCTGCAATTTCTCGTTCCGCCGTTGCTCGGTATTTCTCTCGGTGACGTTTCTCTACGGTTAGTGAACTCCGGAATCGGTCCTGCTGTCCAACCCTCTCCCTGCCTCTTTCCACCCTCCCCGACGAACTCTCCCAAATCTCGTGCTCGACATTTCCGAGGGAAAATACGGCCCCCTGTCGACGTACCGTCAGGTCAGAACAGCGCCGCACGTTTCGAGATTTCCACGCGGTGACGAATGGAGAGTTATCCTCGATCCTCCTCCTAGTATCTCGTTTTCTCACTCCTTTTCCGCTTTACTTGTCCGCTTCGCAGCGTCTACCACTTGTCCCGGCCGTAAGCTCCTTCGCTTTGACTAGTCCCGAGGGATAAAGTCAGCACTTTCTTAGGAGCTACACTTTATATACGTGGGACGCGGATTCTAAATTAGATAGTGATTTATTGCTTATCGAGGCTTTCTCAATACTTTCTATTATTATATATCCAAGTAATTTGTCTTTATAAGCCCTAATCTGTTTTTATCAAACTTTTCATAGTACGTGTCATCTCTTTTTAATATTTATCCTTGATTTATTTGCTCGCTTAAAATTATATTTTTTTTCTTGTTAATTTATCTACTTTGCGTAAGATGATATAAATCAAAAATCAAAAATATATTTTTTTAATCAAAGAGTTTACTTTACAGTAATGAATTAGTTTTATATGTAATATATAGTTTTTTTCTCAGATAATAATCCTTAAAGTTCGCCAGTAATA